TCCAAGTTTGCATGTTGCTCAATGAGGTGAAAATAGCTTCAACTTTTCTTTTCTACCAGAAACCCTCTCAAAGTTTACACCTGCACCAGGAAGCTTACAAGAAGCATTTGCAAAGAGAAAAAAATCATTTATAGAGAGATCCTGCCAGAGACAGAAAGAAATAAGGAATAAAACACATGTTTTTAGAAATCCTGAAAACCAAGTGATTAAGACAGCACTTTCTATAGGTAAGTTCCCCAAAACATTTGTATTCATTTGAGAAAGGGAATCTGGCTTACCAAATTACTTGTTCTCTGCTCAGGTTCACATGTGAGTGGCCTAAAAAGTCAAGTTAGAGTGTCACTTCCCGAAGACAGAAAGGCTGCACAGGCCCTCAAGCACCAAAGGACTCTAAGGTACGTATTTTATATGTGTGTGTATTAATAATGTTCACATTTCTTAAGTATCTGTCTTTGATTTCCACTTAAATTTCTTACAGGTTACACAATCAGTTACCTGAAGTAAAACGGCAAAAGGAAGAGAAAGCAAAGCAAGAAGCTTATGCCCAAAACAGAGCTAGAGCAAAGGAATTTCATAAGGTGAGTAAGGTACAAAGTGATTTTTCATGTCAAAAGTACACAATTGAAACTAAAATTTACTTTTATTCCCTCCACAGAAAACACTAGAGAAACTTCGAGCCAAAAATACATGCTGATTTTCTACAAAAAGTATAAAGGACTTTTATTATTTGTAACATAGGTATAATTATTTAAAGTTAATAAACTTTTATTTAAGGAATTTCACATGTTCTGAGTTCTTCCACTGCCTTAGTTCCTCCTGAGTTTGAGTCTTAATCATCTTATTCCCTAAAAAGAAGAGTACGCAGTGGTTAAACTTGGAAAAATTACTTTCCCACCTCACCAATCACTGATGTAAGTAGTTAAATCATATATCTCTTCAGGACAAAATAGACACTATTGAGTGTCTATTACATCCTATGGAGAACTTCAATTTTAGGTCACAGCGTTAAGAGCTCCTGGTTTTAGTCCCATAAGCTCTCTTTGAAATGACCCATAAATTAATACCTTTTCCTAATGTTTACATACCTCTCTTGCTCAATCCGGATGTCATCTCAAGTCAGTCCTATATAATAGGAATAGAGATTATCATGATCACAGACTGTATGGTAACTGAGAAGGACTTGGCTAGACAAAGGACATCAAGCCCCAGACATCTAAAATGGCTGTCATCAAATCTGGTTCAGGACTATTAAAGAAATCTCCTATAGCTTATGTCATATGTATAGTGGACTGTGATCTAGCAATGTAAATCTAGGTTAGTAAAATGTTCCCAGTAGGCTGAATGCTATGGTACCAACATAGCAAAAAAAAAAACCTACTGGGGAAATGTTTTGTGGTCATGTCCACGGCAAATGAGAAACTACATTCTAAAAGCCTTGGTAATGACCATTATACTTTGGTGTGGGGTAAGATAAAGACAGTACTTACCACAATCCTTTTAGTTGAGCTTCTTTGATCTACACTTGAATATGGACATACTTCAAAAATTCTGCACTTATGAAGATTTTAATGTTCATATTGGACTAAATTTTTCAAAATACATTTCATTAGGGTCCAAAGTACCTTCACAACCAGTTCCCAACTAGCATACATTGAAAGTTCCAGGCTTGAAACTGAAAATAATTGGAATAAGCATCTTTTCAATCAAATTAAATATTGGGAACAAATCTAATGTTAAACCAAGACTTAATCCATTTCCATTCATAAAATTCTCATAGGAAATGCACTATTTGGAAATGTTTGTGTTTCAGGGAATGCTTATCTTAGCTTTCATATTTATTATGTAGATGGATGTTCAGATGGCTATTTTTCATTCAGCTCATTCAGAGCAGTTGAACATTTTGCCCATCATCATAACATCATGCTGGTGAACACTATAAGCATAGCGGTCGGCCTTTTTAATGTCCAATTTTTTTGTGGTAGTAATAAGCCACCAGGATGGGCTACTGTAATAAGTGAATAAATGCAAGGACATTAATACTGACATTTTATAAAGGAGCTTAAGTCTCCTGTAAACTAGGAGGGAGTTTGAAGGAAAAAATTACAATCTTACCTATGGTCATTGGGAACTAATTTCTTCAAGCAATTTACTTTAGGACCCTATAAATTGAATATTAAGAATAACAATGTTATTGTTATTTTAGCAGGTGACATAAGGTGTACTTATTACTCCGCTCATTAAGCCTAGCAAAAAATGTTACAGGTCTCATTGTCACCACTGTAATAAGATTACTGTGATGGAAGCATAACCTGTGTCTCAATGTAGCCACAATAACAAATTTCTGGACACCGTACACAAAAAACAGTGCCCATTTTCATATAGAATGAGGCCTTATAAAAGTTTCTCTCGAGCTTATGTATACACTATGCAAAAGGCTTTGACATCTGTATAGAAGTAGT